TGCATACACCCAACTGCTTTCGGCCTGTGCTTGGCCCGGTACCCGTACCCAGCCCAGGGCCTGCTTTACATTCATTCACACATGCGGCCCAGGGCGTGAGTTCATTCAACCAACTGATGCTGTGTAACTGCCTGAATTTCCCCATTTGCGGGGTACCCTGAAAACGAGGCCCTGAGGGCCTGTCGTGCCTGCCTTCACTTAGGGCGGCCGACCTTGCTGCAAATAAGGCCCGTAGGGGCTAAGCGGGCGTAGCCTCGCAGAAAGATGCAGAGAAGATTAATTCATTCGCATGGCCCCTGCATAAGGACGACGCACACACAAATTGAGACATGGCTAGAGAAAGGGAAAAAAAAAAGGAAAAAAGACAACTTGAAGTATGGCGCTCTTCAGAACCTTCTTTGACTGTTTTGAGTTTGAACACTACCCACTAGTATGTGTGACATAGCATGCACATGCTATGTCACACATACTAGCAGATGCACATACTATGTCAGACATGCTAGCAGACGCACATGCTATGTCACACATACTAGCAGATGCACATGCTATGTCACACATACTAGCAGATGCACAGGCTAAGTAGATGCACATCCTATGTCACATCATATTCTAAGCAGATGCTATGTCACATACTAGTAGATGCGCATGCTACGTCACACATACTAGAAGATGCGCATGCTATGTCACACACTCTAGTAGATGCGCATGTTATGTCACATGCTACATATACGCACATGTTACGTCACACATGCCATTTGGGTAAGCAGATGCTATGTAGACATGCTACATATACGCACATGTTATGTCACACATGCCATTTGGGTAAGCAGATGCTATGTAGAAACATTGTTATATCAGAAACATGTCTCAAAAACACTTAGCCCACTGCCAAGGTGTTCCTCAAGACATGTTTGAAAAAAAAAAAAGAAAAAAAAAAGAAAAAAAAGGAAAAAAAGCACTTTGAAGTTTCTACACTGCAAACACAATGTTTCAAAAAAACACTTGGTACTTACAAGTTTCTGCAACCTTGTCAAAGTGATCGCGCTACTGCCCTGCAGTACAAGAATGGACCAACAAACAGACAAAACACACACACACACACACAATCAACAACAGGGAAAAAAAAAAAAAAACTACCCAGCACTAACTTGATTGAACCACTGAGTAGAAAACTGAGGACAAAGCCTAAACCCTAAACCCTAAATCCTAAAGCCTAAACCCTAAACCCTAAATCCTAAAGCCTAAACCCTAAACCCTAAATCCTAAAGCCTAAACCCTAAACCCTAAACCCTAAAACTTAAGAAAAGAACTAAACTTCGACCCAGTACCATTATATCATTTCACCTTGATCAATCCCTCCCTTTACAAACCTGTCTCCTGGAAACCAGATTTTACGTTATAACCTTTAAACCACCAGTAGTTGCTTGGCCCAGGGATCGGCCGAGGAAAAAAATAGAGTAGAAACGTTTAACGTTTCTAGCCGGATGAATTTGGGCATTTATGGAGAGGCCCGCACGTTTCCTAAAGTCGTGGCTTGCTTACGGGCACGACTGAAGTGCGAAGATTTTACCCCTCGGCATACCTGCATAAGGCCCCTGCAGCAAACGACTGAAGTGCCCGCCCTAAGTGAAGGCGGGCCCCTGAATCTCATTGAGCCCTGAATTCCTCAATTTTTGAAAATCTTGTTGGCCCCCAGACAGTTGCCACGCGTCAGTTGGTTACATCCACTTTGCTCGTGGGAATCTGAAATATTCGTGAGCCTTCCACGGTCCTCCAGCAACGTGGTGAAAGCAGGGAACACCACACGTTTGTGCCTCTGGGTGGTTGGGCTTGCCTAACCAATTCGGTCCCAGGCCACCGTCTGAACGGGCCTGGGTGCAGAACACTTTGGCCGAGACTGAAGCTACTGGAAACTCGGTCTCACGGGGCAAGCCAGTGACAACGAGCGCGCCACTTTCCATATAAGAAGGGGCCGGGCTGCGTGGAGGGCAGGCGGTCACTTGCTGCTGTGAGCGGCAGTGCTGCTTGAGCTGAAGCTCGCGCGGGGCTTGCAGGCGCGGGTGCTTAGACAGTGCACGCGGGCGCTGGAAGAAGAAGGGTGCTGCGCTGAGGCAGCACCATAGCCAGCCCCCATAGCCAGGGCTTGGCTTGGATGAGGGTCAGCGGTGGTGGTGGTCGACACGCGGTCGACTGTATTATATTCGTGATATTATTACTAATATTTCTTTTCTTTTTTTTTAATTCCCCTCGCCTTTGAAAAGTTGTACCCTAAAATTCATTCGACAAGGTAACCTTGTAGTATTCGAATACAAGGTACCCCGTACTTTGTATTGGTATACAAGGCTAGCTTTCCCGGGGCGCCCGGCCGGGCGCCCCGGGCACCCCGCCCAGGTAGGGACCACGCCCAGGGTACCTCGCGCACGCTAAAAAACC